TAGAAGCTCTACAGTGAACTGGACCGGGACACATATAAAACAGGTTTTTAAGGACAGCATTTCCATTCTGCATTCGATAGTTTCCTGTTCAAAATTATACAAAAGCAATTTAATCCTTTTTTACTGTTACTCTATGCAAATCACTTCCCAGACTTCTGATAGACTTGGGGTTTGTCAGCCTCACCAGCCAGCTTCCCCAAAAGAAGTGGCAGGCAGGAAAAGCCAAATAGCAGACAATGAAAATCTGAAGTGAAGAGAACTCAATTTCCTGAATACATCAATGAAATAACAGTAAGCGCGGACAGCAGCTGGACTGAGAATTCAGAAAAGCAAGTGGGAATCACTGACAACAAATGCTCTTTGGAGACTTCCCTTGTGCTGACTTGGTTACTTGATCTGAATTTGGAGCCTAGTCAGTATTGGGATTCGGACCAAGCTCCAAGTAGAATAAAGGGTAAAACCACATCTGATCTGCTCCAAGACAAGACATCTGTAAGTCGCTAAACCATCCCTCTAACTAAATGGAAATTGTTGTAGGTTTATAGTAAAAAATGTGATGGGACAGGTGAATATATATTATAAAATGATAGCATATGAATGTTTTCATCATGTGTGTTGTCTGATGACTAGAAGTTGAAGGCATTTTGTCTTGTTTGGACTGTTTTAGACATGAAAAAGAAGCAAAGGCTGTGTGCCAAGCGGCTTGAATGTTGGAGTTTGAGAAAGTTATTTAAGGAGCAAAAATCTGCTTTTCAAATGCCTACCAGGAAAAGTTCTTAGGTGCTTCTCTTGGCTTAACTATACACACTTTCCAATCCAGGTAAGGCAAACCAGCTGAAGTCTTTTTCTGAAGACTGTATTTTCTTCATGTGCTTCTAAATATGATGTGTGAACCTAGGTTAAATTCTATGGCAGAACCTCGATCAGTTACAACAGGAAAATTCTTGGAGTCTATTATTCAATTGTATTTCAGTAACTCAAGGTAAATGGTGCAGAAACGTTAGAAACTGAGGTACGAGTCCACCAGCAGTACTAGAAGCAAACAAAATGCCTATAAAAACAGATGGACTGCTGTGCAGTTATTACTCTGAGACTTCTACAGTTTGTAACCTGAAACAGAGACATTATGTCATCGATGGAGAAGGTCTTGGCAAAACCCCTGGCATAATGCTTGATAGAAGTAAAAACAGAATACCTTCATCACATAAATACATTCTGTGTATCTTTTGGAACACACTTTTCTAGACATCAAGGAAGACAATATCCTAGAATAAAACTAAACAGAGTAATAATGGATCACTGTTTTTCCTTACATTTTGTTTATATGAGAAATACAAGTTTGGTGGTACTTAGGAGGAGAAGGAAGCGCTGGAAGGACTGCTGTAGATTGTTCATACAGAGCCTTCGATAACATAACTGTTACCAACTACTGTTGATCTAGAATATCAACCCAGCAACCTTCTCCTGAACAGCAGTCCCGTGAAGGGCTGCTGCAGACAACAGCACCCAGGAAAGGAGGTACCTGATGCAATATGCGCAAATGCCTACTGAGGGGAAAATCCTAGCTTTTCAGAAGTAACTGGTATAGCAAACTGCACGTGGAATTCCTTAGCTTGCCTGCATAAATTCACAACTAACTAAATCTTGTTCATTCTTGTATTTTTAATCCTGTTTATTGTTTTCCAAGCTATAAATGAATGGCATTTTGCTCATATAATCTCATATGTGATATAATACTGTCATCAAGCAAGGGAAAGAAAGGCAGGAGGAGAAAGGCCCTTTACCATTTGATTACAGCAATGCAAGAATGTTCCAATAGATCACTACCAGGGCAACGCCCGTGTTCCTTTTTGTAGTGGATTTCCCTAAACAAGTTTGAAGCAATGACATTCTTGCACAGAAAGTCAGGACTGTAAACGTGTGGCCGTAAAGCCATTATACATATGGGCAATATAAACTAAACGTGAAAAAAAATTCAGGCCAGGAGAAACATTTTAAGTTAAGATATGACAAATCCTAACCATAGCACACAGCATAGTCACCACCACAATATCAATGACAGACACTAGTACAGTGCACTGATTCCAGAGTTTAAGTCTAACTAGATGAGTTTTTACAAAAAGCTTAGTTCCAAGGGAAAATGAATTTTTTCCAGGGCCAACAGATGAAATCTACAATGCAAGACAAACTGTTCCACCTGGTGCTCTATGTTTCTAAACAGCTTGTGGTCCATCACATGCTCAGGCATTAGGCATTTGGTTTTAATTTTAACCAGCCGATCTTCTATGTGCAAGTGATATAAACAAAAAAAAATGTGCCATTTCAACATAGGATCATTTTTAGATCATCACAATATTCACACTACTTATTCTTTTATGTATTTTTTGATTGTTTCCTTTTTCAGGGTACTGATTTTAGAAACAAATGGTTGCAGGAGGTTCCCTGTAGTTTGGTGGGTTTTTTGTCTGGAAGAGATTTTGCTGTTTCACAAATCAGAAAAGTATTTTTCATTCTGAAACAGGCTCCAGACCTCATTAATAGCTTTGCCTGGTTCCAAGATAGCGAATCTTTTCTATGCTCATTTTCCTCTCATTTTATGGAGCTAGCCTGCTTAGTTAGGGAAATAATTTGGCGGAGAGAAGGATGTCTCTGAAAGTGGCATTCATTGCTTGAGAAGTCAGTGCAAAAACAGCGTTTGAAAGATTGACTGATTTTTTTAAACACAATGCAATTGTGGCACCCATTGTCTAATTGCTATTAGATGTGAAGGGAACAGGAACTGTAGTAGCTGAAGTTGACTATAATCGCATCCCAGTGGAAGAATAGAAGTGTGGTAGAATTTGAGGCAGCCATTGGCTGTCTTCTTAAAGCATATCCTAGCAATATTCTTTTCTCCGATTATTACAGACTATACTGCAAGCCTGGAGAAAGAAGAAAGGGTACTCTGTTATGCTTACCTATAGATAACTCCTAGGAGCACTCACTCCTTACTCACTTCTGCCCTCACTCGCCTTCTCGTTCCTCTTGTCCTTTTGAGGTGTGGTCATGAGCAAGAGAATTAACAGGACTTCTACCGTATAACTTCACCCACATCTTAACCAGCAATGGTTTTGCTCAATAAACCTACTGTATTTTCCTTTCCTTTGACAACACTGACTAGCCTGAATTACTCCTCACCAGCATATGCAGTTTTCTTCTCCTCTAGCATTTTGTTATTCTGATGTAACTACATTACTATGGAGTTTGTAATGAGTAAAGTATCTCTGCTATGTATGTGCTATCTAGTAACTCAGCAGTAACAGCAGCATTAGTTCATAGAGTGCAATCTTATTTGATACATTTTTTTATCCATGTGTACCATACAAGCTAATTATTCTTTATACAGATATGATTAGTCAAGTTTCTTCAGATAGCTTATGATTGCTATTTAATGGTATAACAGTATAGGGACATAATTTTTTTTCTCCCCTGTTATATACCAGTTGTCAGCAGTTATGTCATAGTATCAGCTGGGCTCCATGACAAAATCCCTGCTCATATGTTGATATCTCACAATGCACTTTGTGATTCTGTATGTGCACCCTGTGTTACCTCATGCTAGAAGTTCTTTTATAAAAGGGGCACTTAAAAGCATTAGAAAGGTCAATGGAAAATGTGAAGCAAACGTTCATAGATTTAAATCCGTGAGAAACTTGTATGTATGGCCAACTCAGGGATAAAGTGCTGTAGTTGGCTAGATCATATACAATCTAAAACACACAAAAAACTACATTCAACATCCTTTGTGCTTTATAAGCAGGGAAAAAAAAGAAAACATTAATTTATGTGCTGTGACTTCACATATTTAGCTGGTTAGTTTGCACTTTCCTAAGAGTCCCTAAAAATAAACTGAAAACATCTTAAACTACTTATGGCAAATAGAATGGCAGGAAAGCTCTATTGTTTCCAAATGTGCATTGAAACAAATGAGTGAACATGAGGCTCCTCTATTAGAGAAAGAGTCTTAATGGAAGAACTTACTGAACTCTGACTGAAGTCATATGAAAGTAACACAGGGAGTCTTGCTAGCTTAACAGATTTTATCTGTCAGTACAAAGGCAGCACCTCTTCTTAACTTCAGAATACGTTTTAAAATTCAACTAATACACTTCCAACACATCACTTATTTCAGTGAAAGCTTACTGAAAAGGCAATACAGATAGAGATTAATACAGGTCTGTCTCCTTCTGTGTCATTTCTGCTTTGTATAATGTGAAGACAAAGGCAGAACAAATGTTTGAAGACTTCGCTGTCTGGCCCACTCCGAAATATCAGGCTGTTTCCGACCGCAACCAGGCCAAAATTCAGGTTAAAGATGTGGAAATGTATTTATCAAAAGGGAGAGGCAAACTTGGAACTTAAGTGTCAAAGGTAGACAAAATGACATTCTGCATGTAAATACTTCTAAATTTTGGTTAATTTAGAGCTCTTCCCTTGCTGCTGCAAAATGAAAGTGCAAAAACTTAGTCTTCTGCTTCTTCTATAACAGATAAATGTGCTGCTGTTTGTGGGCCTTTTTATGTGCACACTTTCCAAAGTTAGTTCACTGTTTAATAACAACAAAAAAAACCCACACAAACAAAAAAAAGTAATTCATGTACTATTTCTGTATCAGGAAATGGCCAGGGAATATCATCTATAAATGTAAAATTGAAAAAAAAAAAAATACCATGTAAGATATCTTCCCCCACTTTAAACATGTAAGTTGCAAATGAAAATAATCAGTGTGTGATTATGGACAGATGTTGCACGGTTCCTTGTAAAACCTTGTCATCTTGTCAGACTTTGAGTGAGCTCTTCTCAGGCCGTGTGATTCAAATGCACCATCTGAGGACAGGTAATACAGGTGTATCTTTTGAGGAGGTGCTTATTCAGGAAGGATGTAAACACTGGAGAAGATTTCTATGCCTTTCAGGTACAACTAAGATAATATGCAGCTGCCAACTATTAGTGAATCTTACCTTGGCCAGTTGTGCTTGGAGTTTGTTCTTTGCATCAGCTACTTCAGCAATACGATTGTTAAAGGCCAGGTTGGTACTGATGAAATGATTCCACATCTCCTCAGACGTGCTCTCCAGTCCAACCTCTGCCTCCTCTCGGAGCTTGACAGAGTTGGCCCTTGCATGTTGAGAGCACCTGATATTGTCTTCACTGAATTTAGCCCATGTTGCAGGAACTGAAACACTAGTAAGAAATTTAAAATAAGGGGAAAATAAAAAAATAAAAGCTTAGTCGAGCTATTTTCTGGTCAGTGATAATTACACTGAATTACGCTAAGTGTTCATCCATTGAACTGTGCAAACTGTGTAATCACATACATCAGGTGATTTTATGGGTTTCATACCCACTTTTTTTTTTTCTTTTTTCCTCTACAAGCCAAAGATTTGGCAACAACAAGTGAAGATTTTGGAGAGCTGTTGCTTCGACAGAGTTTCTATGATTTGCTTGAATATTGTAGCTGCTAACTAAAGGTCTTAGTGGCCCTGGCATCAACTCCAAAGTAAGTAGGTTTATGTTTTGCTGTATAAAGAATGACCTTTTCTTGCATACTTTTTGTTTATTGATGCTTAAAAATAGTTTTTCAGGATCAGGTATGAATATCAACAACGCAACTTCTTCCTGTCTTTAACAGATTAGGTGATGGTCTGAATTCCTACTTGCTGTATCTCAGCTGAAATTTGACACGTTTCTCTGTGTCAAGGTTCAGAGTGCTTATGGCCTTAATGGATTATTAGATTATTTAGCGTGATCTCCTGCACATTGCACACCATCAGATTAGATTCAAATACCATCTACTTTTGTGAATCCAAACACTTATCCTGGGGAAACCGAGTTGTGTGTCACCAACCACCAGAGAACATGAAAGCCCAACCTAGTTTAGGGAAAATGAGCAAGAAACCGAAGGAGAAAGGATTGTTACAGAGCTCTTCAGACAGCTCTGGTCTGCTATCAGAGCAGCCCTACCTCATGAGATATGTGAGACCTATATAATAAAGCACGTGGCTCTGACATCCTAGTAGCCCTCATCATCAGAAGGAATGATGGCAGGAAAATGGATAAGGCACTGACCTAGGAGTAAGGAGAACTGGAATTTTCTCCCAGCCCCAACACTGTCCTTCTGTGTCATTTGGATAAATATCTCCATCCTCTTGCTTCTCCATGTGTTAAAATGAACACCTCTGCTTTAATTTACACGGCTGTTACAGTTAAATTTAGTAATATCTATGAGACAAGCAGAAATGGCTCTGCTATGGAAAAGCCTATGAATACACAGAGAAAGACTGAATATAGGGCTCCTGCACTGAAAAGTGCCACCCATTAATGTTCCTGCTGTAATGTCCTGTATGTAAACAAACTTTGGGATGCTTGGTTTTGTGTCCAAGCTTCATAGATGGCCTTCATTATCATAATTAACATAATTATGAATATAAATCCCAGACTCAGGTCTCTCCAAACTGGGAGTCTGTGGGGCTCTCAACTCGCAGCCTGAGCCCCTGGCTTGAAAACTGGTGCAGCATAAGCTACTCTCTTTGGAGTTAAATTCACCACCTTCTTTAATACGCTGTTTAGCCTACTAGGTCACTTCTCCCTTCACCCAGAAATATTTAGTGCATTTTATGAAAAGGTACAGATATTTTACTTGCCAAACTGAAACACTGAGACAAACTTCTGCCTGCATTTAGACTTCTTTCTCCACACAAAACTTCCTTCTAAGAATTATGCCTGTGTGTTAAACTCTGCAGGGACAGGTCACTATTTATTGAGTTTCACATTGACTTTAGATTTTAATTGAACACTGAGAATAAATATTAAGGGATGCAAAAAGAAAAAGTTAATTTTGTCAGTGCTTGTTTTCGCAGGGGCCCTTTTTTCAGTTTTTCATAGGGTATTCCTCTCCCTCCAGACAGAAGTACTGATCTTCCTAAACGATTTGGAATTCCTTAGTGCCACACGTTTATTTAGGCAGTTTCAGGTAACCAGCATGATACCACAGTAAAGTGCACAAATCAGTGTGCTAAACCTGAGCAGACGTTACTTACAACTACTGATCCAGACAATCTTGGTATACTTTCTGCAGGGTATTTGGTTTGGGTTGGGGTTTTTTTCCCCCCTCTATGGTCTGATGATTATATTCATATTCTCATCAGAAAATTAAGTTTTCAAGTAGGTTTCCATCTTGACTATCTGAAGTACTTAGTACTTAATCTGTTCTTTAACATTGCTTTTTCAGACTGGAATTTATCTGGCTGGCTCTGTTGAGGCAGAAAACACCTGCTCTGCTCCTGAGTGCTGCAGGTATGTCTCAGTCTGCCAGATGGTTTCAGGAAAATGTTAATGAAAAATGGCATTTCTTTGGATAATGGTTGGTGAGAAAGGAAAAGGGCTGTAAAACTTATCCACGTGAATCTGCTTTTTACCAGAGCTGACAAGGATAATTTTATTCATTGCTAATCCTAAAAGTAGGTAGTGTTACTGGCGTCAGCAGAATGCCTGCCAAGTTTCCTTCAGATATGCCCTCATTTCAGTAGTGAATGAGGTGATCTTTTAATGAGAAGCAGAACATTCTCCTTCCAACAAGACAGAGTCGTCATCATTTGAGATTGTAGAGTACATTCACCATTCAAATATTGCTGTGTTAAAGAGCGATAAAGGAACTAACAAGTCATTAGCACAAAAACACTGCCCTCTATTGCAAGCTGCTTCGGCTATTGCTTTTGGATTGGATGCAGGTCTTGATGAGGCCACTACTAATAAACAGTTTTAAAACTGTATACAATTGGGACGTTTTAGTTCAGTGATTTTTAGTTCAGTCTGTAATGCTAAAGCTATGCCAAATCTTTGTGATCATCCTCTTTAATACATACCTCCGTATAGCTTGATGGCCTGATTTCCAAATAACCCAAGCTATTTTTACGGAAAATATATATAGTCCTTGCTGTACACTTGCATGCTGTTTACCACATTGCACTTAACTGCACACCTTAGCTGCACTTTAATTTGATTGGATGTGGTTTTGAAACCCAAAGGCCACAGAACAGTATAAATCAAAACCAAAGGGAGACATCTGCAGAAAGGAGTTTGAGGGCAAGGAGTCAGCTGCAACGCAGTTGTAAATGATCATCCTTGCTGAAAAGCACAGCTCACTGCACATCAGCGGTGTAGGTGCTGCAGACTGCCAGCTTCTGCCCGGCCTCCAACAATGGCAGCTGCTAGGAGGCAGAGAATAATTGAGGATGATGGAGGGTTTCACACCAAGGAAAGACAGGGCCATATGGAGAGAGAAGCTACTTCATTCTACATCACTTCTCAAAGGTAAGGCTAGGACTCGTGCTGTAATCAGGCTCTTACGGCAGGGAGCAGGGAAAGAGAAGTCTACAATAGCCACTCGTACTCACGTCCCATCTGCTTTCTCCACTCCATGATAAAAGTTGATGCTGTCCGATGTGTTCCTCAGGTTAAAGCACTTCTCATCAATAAAATGGGCTGAGTTTTTGTCAGAAAGATCCTGCTCCAGGGCATGCTGTGCATCTCTGTTGATGCTGTGAAGGGGAAAGAATTACCTTGATCTGAACCACCTTTAATGCTGTTGTGCTAAATAGCTAATTGCTTCCATTAACTTCCTACAATGCTTCATTTTATAGTTTGTTGGCATTTACAGTGGCTTGAAAATGCTTGGTGCTGTAATTTAGCTAGAGGGAGCTGCTGTCCCGTTCATCTCTTTCAGCCTCGAGAGAGTATTCCTCAAAGAATTGCATTTAACTCGCTGCATTTAATAATGTTTGTCATTTTGATGACAGACAACCACAATGGTGAAAAACAACAGGTAGTTGGGTGGCATGAAGGAAAGCCTCAGAGCAAAAGGGAGGAGGTTTTCAGTGATAACCTTCATGCTAGCAAAGCTGTAAATGAGAAAGAAAAGGGCAGACCAGAGTTGTGGTTTCCCATCTCTCCTGATTTGGGGGACAAATTCACTTAGCATAATTCAAATTGTACATCATTGGAAAATCTGTTTAAATATTTCTGCTCATCTTGATCACGAGGAGGGAAATATGTTGTTCCATCTCTTGCTTTCTTACCCACAAGGAATTTTTGGAGTAACTTAATCTCCTTTGGCTCTTCCAAAAGGAGGGAAGGCCTGGCAGACCTTGGGCTAGAATGGGAGTAATATGGACGAAGAAAGAAAGTCTTGCTTTCCAGTGCATCAGGGAGACAGCAGACATATTGATGTTTTTTGCAAATATTGCTGTTTCCGTGACGTACTTGTCAATTGGCATTGCTATCGGTCTGCCTGATGTGGTGACAGAACTGAGTCAAAGGTAACCAGAAATGCCAGCCTGGAGAGCTAGGCAGAGCTCATGCCACCAAATATGAATTTAGCTTTTATCTGGTCATATACCCAATATATTACAGTAGTGGGATGAACTGCAGAAATACATCTAGCCTGACTCATGAGAGTCCTGAGTGCCATTAATAAGAGCAATTGTTTATAAAAATCTACTTATGTCTTTTTCTCCTGTAATGTATTAATCAAGAACTGTACAACTTTATCTTCCTTGTGAGTACTTGAACTGTTTCTTTTGAGAATCATGTCATATAAACATGCCTTTTAAAATTTGTATCAGTTCTGTGTAGTTAACAGAACACTGTATTCAGAATAGTTTTACCTAATTAAATAAGACTTAAATGTAATTTGCATTTATTTGTGTACTGTCAAAGAAATAAAATAAATTCCAAAGCCTCCCATAACAAAAACATAGATAAATATACATCAAAATAATTTAAGTCCATTCCATAACTCATCTCAATGTTTACGATGTGCTTAGATTCCTCTTTCTTTTGTCAATAATGATTTTCCTTTGAATTTAGTTTTGTAATTAAAAAAAAAAATTCCCTTTGAACTTCGCTCCAATGTGCCACATAGCAACATTGGCACAACTAAGCTATAATTTTGGTGTCCCTGATTTTAATGAAGGATTTCAGATTAAACATGACTTAAAAATTGAGTCACAGTCATCTTTAAACGGTAAGTATTGCTCTTCTGCAGTTTAACATACAAATTCTATCCTTGGTAAGAATTAGAAGTGGAGGGCAACGAGCATCTAACAGGCTAAGTCTCTGATTTTGCCTTTGCTATTTTCAATCTGTCATTAGATACTAGCCAACACTGAATTCAGCTTTCCTATCTTTAAAACAGGAATTAAATATAAAGTCTTACCCCAACTGTTTACTGATTTTCTGCGCAAGTTTTGTCAGTATTTCTTGACAGTCCTTGAATACATCAACCTCCTACAGTGGAAAATACATGGTGTCAGTGCTTTCAAACTTCATTTGTTTTAGTGAATTTATCCTTTTTGTTCTGCATTCTAGATGTTGCAACCATCTCACATATCTCAAATGCAATGTAGGTCAAGAAAGGATGCATGTTTTGGTCCTTCTCTTCCTCAGTGTGACAAAGTTGTATCTTTTTACTTGGTTTTGTATGGCTTTTTATATTATATCAAACATGTTAGTAGATTTTATTGGATGAGGTCATTCTAATAAACATAAAGTCAAATTTTGCTTGGCTTAAGTGTAATGAAGATACTTGAAACATGAACCTTAATCCATTAAACTACCCTCTCTAACTACTTCTACATTTTTCTAGAACAATACAAGTATTTTGCTAATAGTGGAGTAGGTTGAAAAAATATCTGATTTCAGAAACAGGCTCCCTAAGGAAGTATATTGTAAAATTCTTCAAAACTATAAATATTAGTCAAAGAAATTCAAAGCCAGGTTCCACTCATCTTAAAATAAATAAAAAATACTCAAACCAACCACACTGAAAACTATACAAACATGGTAATACGGTCCCTCAAACAACGTTATGGTGTTCCAGCCTCTTTCCTTTTTAAAAACTCTGTTTTAGCCTAACATACCCTCTTACATAAGTGTGTACAGTTTTGTGACTTTTGAAACAGGGAGTAAAGTGTTTTAAATTATTCTGAAGTCATTAAGACACCCCAAATTTAAAAATACAGGCTCTGTCTCTGTACTTGTGTGGTATGTGTAGGAGTGACAGCAACTTTAGAACTGGCTTTCCTCTTACTACAAAACGAGCCTTTGTGGTCCTTTATTGTCACTCTCTAGCCTGCTCCATAGTCAGAGCAGTGCTTGGGGACATCAGGCAAATAGCCTTTATTTTTCATTTTGAAAAAATATTTTCATCTGTTCATGTGGACATGTAGCAGTATTTCATCTTACCCTGAATTCTCATGCTAAATTAAGTGCTGAAATACTTAAGCTAATATATATTAACTCCTTGATTCTTCATTAAAACTCTAAAACTCCAAGTTCCAGGCTGTAGGCTCTGAACAAGCATCTCGGTTATCCAAGTGGTCTGCACATCCTTCTGTAATCTATCAATCCAGAAAAGTGCTTGAAGCAATGCCATTGTCCCATAATGTTCTTTTTGTTCTCATACATTTTTGTTCTCATACACATCCAATATAACTTCTTTCAAATATGTTAGCAAAATGTTATTTGATTTTTTTTTTATTTCAAAGATTTAGCAATCGCTACTATCCACCTCATTTTCTTTGTTCAGTTACACTATATATATAGCAAGGCAGTAAACCAGCATTTTATATTGTAAGCCCTAAGAACTTCTGAGATTTTATAGACCGTGGCCCAGAAAACAATCTTGAGAAATGTTCTACCTTGTTTTATAGGATCAGGGAAGATAGAACTGGACAAGACCTCACAAGGATGCTAGGCTATTCCTTTTGCTCTGGGAAGGATGAATAGAACATTAACCATCCCCAATATATACGGTTTTACCAAATTTCTTCCTCTTTTCCCCCCCTCAGTCTTCCAAATGAACGAAAGGAAGAAATTACTGCAATGTTTTTACCCTGATGAATATTTAGTTGGATTTTAGTTATTTCCACAGTTTGAAAAATAAACTAGTAAGTCTGGTCTTACCTTTATGAGGTTCTTTTCCACATAGTCATGAACTAAGTCTATACCCTTCCGCTTCTCACGGTGGTACAAGCATTCTAGGGCTATCTGCAAGCAAACCAAGGAACATTTGCAATAGGCTCAGTACCGCGTTGTGGAGTGAAACCTTGAACCTTGCTGAAGGGGCCACTGAGCTGACGCGTCAAGTAATGACCATCTATCGAGGTTGGAACAGAATAGGAGGTGGCCTAATTGCGCTCAACTGATCCATCTCAGTGGCTCATTCCTACTTACCTGTTAATACATGCTTTTAAGGATTAGCTGCCACCACAGCTGCCATTTGATTAGCTGCTTATTAATGTGCAGCAAGGCCTACATCTCAACATGCCCAAGCTTTGTTGTAAATTGTGTGGATTAAAACACCTGTGTTGTTCTACGCTCATCCATAGCAAAATCCTTTAATCTCATCTCCCCTCATCCTCCCTTACCCAATGCCAAAGTTTGGAAGTTTCATACCTATACAAGAGAATGACTGCATAACTACAGTCATTGACGAGGGAATTCAGTTAACCTGCCCCAGCAGGTTAACTTCACTCTTAATGTCTCATCCACTTGTTTAGAACCATACTAATAAATGAAACAGCATTAGCTGGCACAAAGACTTTCAGCAGAAAATGTTCCCTGAATAGAAAGCGTCCTCAGCCTGCCACTCAATCAGTACAGATAGAGACAACTAAAAAAGTCATTACTGAATACTGAATTTTGGTTTTCTATTTGTACTTGCCTAGAAACATTTCTGATAGACGTAGCTTCCATCAGCAATACTCCTGATGTTTATGAGAGAACTTTGACTCTAGTTTTTGCATGTTTTGAGTTTTTGCTAGCATCGTTCATTGACTTATATTACTGTGGCTTTTTCTGTTGCAATTAATTTGCCTTTAAGATTCTGGAGAACTTCAAAATGTAACACAAATGATATGCCATCCTAAGTGAAAATATTATTTTCACCAAGCAATAGGAGAAAATCCAGAGCTAGATAAGAATATCGGGATATTGCAACTTAGAGGGCCATTTTCTGCTCTCCTGTAATGTACTGAGCTGACCGGCCAGTGCCTGAGGCAGACAGCCTCCTGGAGCCTCAAGCAGAAAGGAAGGAAAAGAGGGCATAGAAGTATCTTGATAGGTTCCTTTGTTGACTTTTATATATAAAGGCCATGGTGGTCAGGTTTCCTTCTTACTCAAGGTAATGGTTCACCAAGATCTGTCTTGATGATAACGGTAAAAGTCATACTGGTATTCAACAGAGTTAAAGCCACTTTCTTTACCCATTCCGCAGTACAGTCATGAAATAACTAGCTATGTCAAACCTACCTTCAGTGGTCCTTGCATTTCATCTGCAGCACATTCGAGCCGCTTCTTTGCTGTTTCCAAGTCTTGGGTCGCTTTCAGCAGACACTCTAGCTCATAGACGAGCTCAGATCTCCAGAAATCAATGTTAGAGATCCTCTCTCCCAGGTTTCTTCTACTGTCTTCTTGCATCCGATAAGTCAGTTGATCCTTATCTTGGATCAGTCGCATTGAATCAGCGTTCAGTCTACCAGCGGAGTACCTGGAGGCTTCGGAGCCTTTTAATTGAACCATGTTCGCATGGTGCCAGTCACGAGTGCTGTAGCGGGCATGCAGGGTAGAACGTGATGCAGGCAGAATAGTGGGCGGCCGCCCAGTGGGATTAAATTGCTTGTCAGAGCTGGGAGGGACCGAAACCACTTTGTGAAGCAGATTGGGCCTCCAGGAGCTGCGGCAGCGGTAGCCTGGTAGGTAGTAGGACTGATAGGTGTCCTTGGTGGTGCTGGTGGGAACTAGATCCGGGAACAGGCACTTCTTCTTTGTGCCACAGTAACTGGCTAGGTGTGTGGTCCCCAGAAACTCCATCCTGCACTGGGTTCAGGCAGCCACCCTCGGGCTGTCCGGCATACGCAGCCACTCTGAGCAACCCCGGGGCCTCTGCCACCCTTCTCGGGGCTGCGCAGTGCTTTATGACACAGCGGAGGTGTCACAGAGCTCCGAGGGCTGTTCCGCCTCGCCACCAGGCTGAAACCCGCCTGGGTTCCAGCGCTCCAGGGGGCCTCCGTTTGTACCTCCTGTCCTAGGGCACGTTGCTTTTCCCACAGAGATGCAGTGCTTTCCCCCGCAGAGCAGCACTGTGCGTGTTGGGACCCCGAGGTCTAGACGTGATGTGAGACTATTTGGTTATAGTGCAGAGGGATTTGCCGAAGGGTCGCTCTGGATGGGTCTGTAGGTTTACCTTCAGTGAGCTTACCTTGAGCGAAACAAAATAAAAGTTTTACTTCAGAGTGGTTCACGTATATCAGTTAGTGGCTGCAGGGAAATGCAGCAGTGGAAACAAACCTTCTGAACCGAAACAGAGACTCTGGGAATCATCCCTAACGATTGTCTACTGATCTCTGCAGATGGTTTGGTCCAAATGGACAAAAAAACCAGTATAACTATTTTGGGCTTTGCTCTTCCCCTCAACTGTATTCATCTTCCATAAAAAGTATAAAAGATGGAGAGACCTTCCTCTGATGATGACTTTTCTCCAGTTTAAAACGTTGAGCAACTTCTCAGATAACTTCCCGTTCTAATTTTTCCTTTCAGCCTTCTGGCCTCTCTGGCAAAAAACTCCTTCTGAAATCCAGTGCTCTAAAATTGCATTGTGACCCATCTTCTGTGCCAAGAATTTTGAACATAAATAACGATGTGTAATTAGGCACTGTATTTCACTATCCTAAGAGTCCTTAAATCAACACAGATTTCTTCTAGGTTGAATGCACAACAATTGCCATCGTTTCTTCTTCTCCAGATATATAACTATGAAACAGCTTGTTAACCTTTTTTTCAAGCTGGGGAAATGAAATATATATGTATAGCTATGCATTACATACAGCATATCTTGTCTCAGAAAGCTAGCATGACATTACACCCCAGCTAAAAAAAAAAGAGGTAGTTTTAAACAAATGGTCATCGTAAGTTAAATTTATCTTCTCATGATGTTTAAAATATGCACAACTGTAAGTGCTACCTGTAGGGAGGTGAGGTACGGGCAGTGGAGCCACACGCAGTGGAGAGGCACCAGACTGGGGTCTATAAACAGGGTAAGATTTATACTGCAAATGCTCACGCACACAAAAACCTTCCCTCTTGCAATAACTGATGGAACTAATTTTCAGCAGCTGCCCAGGAGGGTAAAGTTATTCCCGAGCACAAGAGATTGCAAGAGTGCTGGCAGAGTTCACCGCCGAGTTCAGCCTGACTCAAAGACTATACGAAGCCTATTTTTTGCCCGGGTAGATACCCCTGCACGAAGAGCCCTTGCTGGCTGGGAGGAAGGGGGGTGCTGAGGAGGAGATTCACTTTTCCTTTTTGGTGCTTTTTGTTGGGAATGTTCTATGTAACTTTGGGAACAGGAAATGATCTGTTGGCCCCAAAAGAAAAATATGTGAACACATACCTCAGTTTAAAATGTGAAAGTCCTGCTGACATCAGTGAATCTAATCCATATGTTTGAAAGGAAGCACAGACCTGAAGTGCAGTACTGAGCTGTGGTCTAAAACAGAGCCAAATTTTTCATAGGGAAGGTACAGTATAAATTTCTCAGATACGTCTTACTGGCCAGTTCCTCCCACCCCAGACATTTGAATTTGCTTAAACATTTGGATCCACCTCCACATAACATTTTTTTCATTAGTTTCCCGTAGAATCTAATTACAGAGCAGTAAGTACGGAAGTTGTACAAGTATCAAGTGATAATGAGCGTTTACCTGAGGTAAATATACTTGAAATGGAAAATGGGCAATAGCCTATTTATTAATGGCTGAAAAACAGAGGCCAAACTCATCAAATAACTAAATGTATTTTAAGATTTTTTTCCTATGGTTTTATTGTAGGTGGACAGTTATTCAGAAGTTTTTGTGGGGTTTTTTTTTTCCCCCAGAGTGTTCTTTCTAAAAAGCTTGCGGTTGTTGAAGTGGAGAGTGTTCATAAAAAGATAACTGCAGTATTTTCCTCGGAAAAAGACAGATTTAACACCAGGATGTGCTGGTACCTTTCCAAATATTACCAGATACTCTTTTCTATATATTGTGTTTCCAAGGCAAGACCGACTTAAATAGTAACTTAAACACTTGTATGTTAAAACAATAAAGTTTTGGGACTAATCAGTTAGAAATGGGAATTCCCGAGACTCCTGACTGTGCTCAAATCAGAAGAATACTCTTTTTACAGCACCCTCCACCAAAGCAGTAGAAGGAGCCTTTGCCAGCAGGAAACGTGCTGGTTCACTCACGGTTCCTCCAAAACCCCCGCCCCAACCTGCCTTTCTCTCAAGCCTGAGTTACCATCAGTGGTTTTTGAACTAGAATTCCCGGGCCCTGTCTCAGGAGTAAGTCAGTCTGCCTCACGGGAAGTAGCCGCCACAAGAGGGGCTGCTGTTTCGAGGCTCGTACCTGTTATGTGCATCTCCAGGAGAAAAACCGGAAACTTCTTGAAAGGACATGAATGTATTGTGTGCATTTTTCCAAAGCAAAGTGGTTACACTGTTTAATGCCTTTTTCTGAACACCTAAGTTTTACTCGTGTAGCAGGTGTTCAGATGGCTGTTGCTGCAGCTACAATGGCTGGGCGTCTGCAGTGCTTTAATCGTAACAGTATTGCGAGAACTTTACACATGGGTAACGGGAAAATGAAGGGAAGGTGAAATTGTCAAATCTGTGATCCGTTGTCAAAGATCTCGGAAAAACATTTTCCTCCTCATAAGACTAAGTATGGTTCCATGATTTAGTGCTCATTTCTATGTAGATTGTAAGCATTTTGAGGCAGGAATTGTCTTTTGCTGACTGCCGGTAAGGTACCCCCTGTGGGGGATTCTGGGTTGGTCTCTTTAGGTGACTCAGTTTTACAATTGCAGTTTACACGGGCAGCTTTTAGGCAGGTGTACTGTCAGCGTCTGCTGGGGTGATGAGCGGTGCCAGGAGTAATCACCAACGTTTGCAATCTGTAATTCAGTTCTTCGGCTGTGATGTTACGAACGGGGGAGAGGACGAGGCCGTGCCCGGGAACGACCACGGGAGAGGCAGAAAGGCAGCAGTGGTTGGGATGAGGTGGCCAGTAATAAGGCCCGGATTACATCACAGGCTGGCGCGCGCTTCCTTGGTTTGGAAAATTAATTTATTATTAATTTATTTCATTAATTTTTACGTACCAAATACAGTGGCTATCTGATTGCTCAGAAGCTGATCGGCCAAGTTAAGGTAGAATAATCTTCCCAATGAATGTACCCATTAAATTAATACAAATTGTCTACCAGCAAGGTACAGGAATTAATACATTCAAAATTGCTATGAAATACAGCAGCGGCATGATTCTACCGAAATGATACACCATCTCCTAGCTGTAAAACTTCTGAAACGCAAGAGTAAAGTGCATTAATCTCCAATACTTTCAAGGTAAGCTGACCCAACGGTTGGAGCCCGTCTCCTTCCAGCGGCTGACGTGGGTGAACGGCACAACCCCCCGGGGTGGCTCCCAGGACACGCAGATCCCTCGAATAACACCACGATGTGGGAACTGGAATGTCTTGCGGCAGTGTTGTCAGTTGCTTCTATCTAATGCCGTTCTCGTGGAGAAATTCCAGCGTAGCTTTAGAAACGCGCTGCTGTCAGCAACGGCTCTCCTTTAGCCCCCCTCCCGGCGATCCCTGCCGGTCCCCGTACGCGGAAGCTGCCTG